TACAGTACTGCTTGTCATCTCTTCTGATTGTGGAGAAGCACCAGACCTGCTGTCTTTGTCCTGACTGGGTTTGGTGGCGTGGCCTCTTTCTACTGAGGGCTGAGAAAAGGACTGACCTTCTGACCATCACCTTGTCCACCAGCTCCTTGAGATACTTCTAATGAGCCATGTCTTCAGAGTTTAGGGATGAGCACCACAGTGTAAGGGGCTATTCCTGTCTTGCAGTGTCTGAAATTGTGTCAAGCTAGACTTTAAACATGGCAGCAGAGGTGTCTGAGCTGGAATAGCGTAGCATTGATGAGCACTTCAGCCTTGGTTGCTACAAAATTCAACATGTAATTCATCCAACTTGGTTGCAAAATTAATCGGGTTAAAAGCATCAGCTCATGTGAGATAACTTGCCCTGGGTCATGGCAGAGTCAGCATATTCAAAGTAAAATAGATGTAGTAGAGAAGGTTTGAGCAAGATGGGATACACTGTATAATAATTGTGTTGCATTATATAAAACTATTGGCCTAGATTTTGCTGTTAGCAGCTAAGGAACAACACTCGTCAGTTTTCTGCTGATAGCTGTGAGCTTCTCGGGTTTTTTCTCAGTCTAGCATTTTTAAGCAGTACAGCACCCTAGCAGGGAGATCTGTGGTTGGGGCAAGAAACAGTGAGGTCCTTCGACTAATCAGATGGAAGAATTCTTAGTGAGTACATATTTAGTGTTCCCTGAATTAACTTGCTTGAGGAATTCATGACCATGAAGCAACCTTGCAATGACATCACTGAGTTGCACATCCCTCAGGATAAATAGCACAGTATGGTGGAATTTGAACACTGTAGAATGACGAACTCTTGAGGATGATGGACATGGATATAGAAAGACGATACTTTAATTTTTGCTAATGTCAGAACCTGGTATACCTATGATTAGCAATTTCAGCATTAGCATTAATGCTGTAATAATGTTGTATTGATTACACAATATAACAAATAATGCTACTCTGAATTTAATCCTGAAGACACTTTTTGACTTTTGCCTTTTCCTTCACCAAACTGTCTTGAACCTAAGTGTAAACTTTAGCTCGATTATTTATTTTGTCAAAATAAATTGAGTTGAAGAGTCACTTCATTAAAGAACATTTCAGTTACATTCGGGGTATTATCTGCCCAAAGAGGGTTGGCCCACTCAAGGACAGTGAAGGGAATTTATGTGTGGAGTCAGAGGAAATGGGCAAGGTATTAAATGAGTCCTTTGCGTCAGTATTCACCATAGAGAAGGACTTGGTGGGTGATGAGTCTGGGGAAGGGTGTGTAGATAGTTTGGGTCATGTTGAGATCAAAAGGGAGGAGGTATTGGGGGTCTTGAAAAACATTAAGGTAGACAAGTCCCCAGGGCCTGATGGGATATACTGCAGAATACTGAGAGGCCAGGGAGGAAATTGTTGGGGCCTTGAGGGAAATCTTTGTATGCTCACTGGTTACAGGGGAGGCCCCAGAGGATTGGCAAATAGCCAATGTTGTTCCTTTGTTTAAGAAGAGTGGCAGGGATAATCCAGCTAATTACAGGCCGGTGAGCCTTACATCAGTGGTACGGAAATTATTGGAGAGGATTCTTCGATATTTACTCACACCTGGAAATCAATGGGTGTATTTGCGAGAGGCAACGTGGTTTTGTGAAGGGGAGGTTGTGTCTCACTAACTTGGTTGAGTTTTTTGAGGAAGTGACAAAGATGACTGATGGGGGTAGGGCAGTGGATGTTGTCTACATGGACTTCAGTAAGGCCTTTGACAAGGTCCCTCGTGGCAGACTGATACAGAAGGTAAAGTCACACGGGGTCAGGTGTGATCTTGCAAGATGGATAAAAAACTGGTTCAGTCATTGAGGACAGAGAGTAGCAGTGGAAGAGTGCGTTTCTGAATGGAGGGCTGTGACTAGTGGCGTTCCTCAGGGATCAGTGTTGGGACCTTTGCTATTTGTAATATATATAAATGATTTGGAGGAGAATGTAACTGGTCTGATTAATAAGTTTGCCAATGACACGAAGGTTGGTGGAATTGTGGATAGCGATGAGGGCCATCAAAGGATACAGCTGGATTTGGATCGGTTGGTGACTTGGGCAGAGAGATGGCAGATGGAGTTTAATCCGGAAAAATGTGAGGTAATGCTTTTTGGAAGGTCTAATCCAGATGGAAAATATACAGTAAATGGCAGAACCCTTAAGAGTACTGATAGGCAGAGGGATCTGGATGTATAGGTACACAGGTCACTGAAAGTGGCAATGCTAGTGGAAAAGGTAGTCAACAAGGCATATGGTATGCTTGCCTTCATCATCCGGGGCATTGAGTTTAAAAATTGATGGGTAATGTTGCAGCTTTTATAGAACCTTAGTTAGGCCGCATTTGGAACATTGCGTTCAATTCTGGTCGCCACTCTACCAAAAGAATGTGATGGCTTTGGAGAGGGTATCGAAAAGATTTACCGGGATGTTGCCTGGTATGGTGGGCATTAGCTACGAGGAGAGGTTGGAGAAACTTGAGTTGTTCTTACTGGATCGACGGAGGTTGAAGGGTGACCTGATAGAGGTCTACAAGAGTATGAAGGGCATGGATAGACTGGACAGTCAGAAGCTTTTTCCCAGGGTGGAAGAATCAGTTACCAGGGGCCATGGGTTTAAGGTGCGAGGGGCAAGGTTTAAAGGTGATGTATGAGGCAAGTTTTTTTACACAGAGGATGGTGGGTGCCTGGAACTTTCTGCTGGGGGAAGTATTGGAGGCAGATACTATAGTGACTTTTAAAGGGCGTCTTGACAAATATATGAAAAACATGGGAATAGAGGGACACGGTCCACAGAAGGGTAGGGAGTTTTAGTTGTGACGGGCAGCGTGTTGGTGAAGGCTTGGAGGGCCGAAGTGCCTGTTCCTGTACTGTAATTTTCTTTGTTCTTTGTTCTAAATAATGACTTACCTAGTTTTAGTGTTGTCAGTCGCTGGACCTGTTCACTATCTTTTGACCGGGGGAGGGCATTTAAGCTGAAACAAAATCCTCTATACATCTTCTTGCACTCAAGGACTCAAAAATGTTATGAGGTTTGTTTGTCTTATATAACATTTTATCACATCTCAGAATATTCCAAAGTATTTGTTATAACAAATTATTTAAAGTGCAATCACTTTTGTTATGTATGTGAACTTGTCAGTGACCATGCATTCCTACAGCGTGGAAGCAGGCTGTTATAATCAATACAACATTATTACATTCAGCCCATCGAGCCCACACTGACTGGGAAGAGAATCCCAATCAGTCCCAGCCCCCTACCCTAGCCCTGTAATCCTGCAATTCCCATGGCTAATCCAGTTAGCCTGCACATCCCTGGATACTATGGGCAATTTAGCATGGCCAATCCATCTAACTTGCACAACTTTGGACTGTGGGAAGAAGCCAGAGCACCTGGAGGAAACCCATGCAGACATGGGGAGAAGGTGCAAACTCCAAAAAATCAGTCATCTGAGATTGGAATCGAATCTGGGTCCCCGGCACTGTGAGGCATCAGTGCCAACCACTGAGCCACTGTGCTGCCCATGAATCAGTTCATCAATTTATGGTGGCTGTCAAACCTTGACCATGTCACTGAAAGAACTTACAACTTCCCTTTGAATTGTATAATGTTATCAGTAATGTCTACCTATATAAGCAAGTTTAACTTCTACACAAAATGGTATTTCATTAATGGAACTCCCAGTAATAGACTTCATTGCTGTTTCAGATAATGTATAGCCAATAGTGGTACCAACCACTATTGGGGAGGCGATGGCCTAGGGGGATTATCACTGGACTGTTAATCGAGAGACCCAGATAACATTCTGGAGTCCTGAGTTCAAATCCTGCCATGGCAGATGGTGGAATTTGAATTCAATAAATATCTGGAATTAAGGATCTAATGATAACCATGAATCTATCATTTGATTGTCAGAAAAACCGATCTGATTCACTAATGTCCTTTAGGGAAGGGAACTGCCATCCTTACCTGGTCTGGCCTACATGTGACTCCAGACCCACAGCAATGTGGTTGACTCTTAACTGCCTCTGGGCAATTAGGGATGGGCAATAAATCCTGCCTGGCCAGCGATGCCTTCACCCCATTAATAAATAAAGAAAACTGAACTAAACTGATTTTTAAATCATAATTTATAACTGTACTTTTTGGTCCATGTTTCGTAGTTTTTGTTTTTACTTGTTACTGCATTCAAATCTCCTTAGCTGTGAACTGTTGCTTTAGGAGTTAGTAATTCAATCAGGGAGAAGGTAATGTGACATTTATTTGCATATGAAAATTTGAAGAATGGTATTTCACCCCTTTAATGTTTTTTAAATATATATATACACACATATGTATGTATAGAAGGTATCAGCATTGAATACCCTTTGTTTTCAACGGATTAAGTTTGAAATCTTTGGGTTCCAAATAATTCAAAGGAATTCCACATTGATGAAGCCTGTTTAAATGCACATTTTTCTGCAGTTTTTAAAACATTTGAATTTTAGCTTCTAGCTCTCACACTGTCTTCGTTTTGATTTGTAAGTATTTGTACAACACTTTTCTGTTTTGTTTGGGGCCTCTTGAGTTGCACTTTCATCTTGATCTCATTTTAAATCTTGTTGCTTAATTGCGTTCATTCTGAAATTCGGAATTAGATATATTGGAGTGGAAACAGCATTACATGAAAGCGAAAGATTCATTGTGCAGATGACACCAGGATATTGGGCCCATGTGATATATATCCACAGTTGCATTACAATACTTGATATAAAATCCTTCATCAGTACATCAGTGTTTCTTTCTCACGGTTTTCCACCCTTTCTTCATGTTTTCCCAAATTTTACCAGTTTCTTTGATGGTCAATATGTTTAAAGTACTATCAGCTATCATTTTCCCAAATAGAGATCCACTAATATGACAAACCTTTATATTTTTTCTTGACTGGCAGCCTGTTTTTATTTCTTTTGCAGGATGGTTCAGAGGGTTTGCAACCAAAAAGCCTACAGTCAAAGTAAGTAATCCATAGCTTTCCATTTCAAGAACCAGAATTCTTGAACCAAATTCAAACCCAGTGTTGGATCCCTACATGAGCTATAATTTACATTAATTTTCTATTGTTGTTCTATAATTTCTATTATTTCTGCAGTTATTATGTCTGTCTATGCTGAAGAACATTTTATATTTCATATCGATTCAATTTGTTGGGGTTTTTGCCTTTATATTAAAGTAATGTGAAATTTAATTTTAACAATTATTTGCAGGCAGCACTTATATCTGGTAATTCACTAGCAATCTATTTAATTCATTTATAATGATTAGTGGGATTTAGTTATATTGACCAAATTAGCAGCACTATGACTCTCATAGTGTATTGTTTCAGCGTAAGTTAGAGTCTTTTAACTGCTGCGTAGGTGAGCTATAAAATTCTTCACAATACAGTAAAGGTGAGCTAATTAAAGTATAGCACACTAGCTATATTGAAATTAAACCCTGCATTGATTTCAACCGTATTCCTTATACCTTGTCTCACTGTACATGCCATAAAAGTTTTATATCATTGAAGAACCACGTATTACCAACTGCCAAGCAGGTGTGTGTTGAATACACCGTTGTTGCAGTAAAATACTTGGATATTGTATTGAAAAAGGATTCTGTTGTATATTACTTATTTGTGCACTAACCCAACAAAACCATTAGGAGAATTTTTTTATTGAAAGCAATCTAGGTTAATAGATTGCATATTATGCGCAAAATGAGTTACTTTGAACATAGAACTAGACCAAAATAAGCTGAAGAAATTTGTAAATCTGAAGCAAGGTTAGAAAATTCTGGAAATATATTTTGTGTGCTACTAACCTTTATAATGGACTATTAAAATAGCTAAGAATGATGTTAAGAGACTTGATTGCCTGACCATGATGAAGCAAAAGCAGATAATAATCAATGAAACCAATATCATATTCAACTCGATTGCCAAAATAGTAGATTTCGTTAGTAGTGCTATGGGCTTTCAATAGCACCAGAACTCTGTACCTTGACAAGTGATAATCTCATGATCTGACATATCCCTCCTCCAACTACTACCATCAAAGCAGAGTACTAACCCAGGTTCAATGGGAAGTGTTTAGTCAGGAATGGCATTGACCTAAAAATACCTAAAATTTAAGGCGCCAACTTTGTGAAGCTACAATGCAGGACTGACCTACTCAGAATTAAGTCCACTGATTTGATATATGACCATGGTAAGACTTTGCCACCAGATCTGTCCATTGCAATTGCTTTTGCTGGAGCCCAGGTGGTGTCTTGCTCTTGAAAGTCCTCTATAAATGTACTTTTCCAGGTCTTCTTTGGCTGGCCCAACTTCTGTTATCTGGCTGTGTCGATTCATCTGCCACTCTTGCTCGTTGTATGTCTTGGAGGTGAACTATGTGTCCAAGCAGTCTCGGCCATCTCTCTGTGATGTTCTGTGATGTGCTTCTGACCAGTCCTGTGTACCAACCCTTGATGGGTGATTTTGTCTCTCCAAGCGATGCCCAGGATTTATGTTGGCAACAGTGTTGGAAGACTTCCAATTCACATGATACTTTTGTTATCCTCTTCTATGTCTCATTGGCATAGTTTGCATTTGGTACTACATTGGACATGTGGAGTTGCAGTTTTATGATCATGACATGATGATGATGTTGAATGCCTGCACCATGTGATGTCTTTTGAAGACCCTTGTGGTTTTGCTGATTCTTGTGTGAATGTCAATCTGTACATCACCCTTCCTGGAGATGTTGCTCCTTAGGTCTGCAAGTAACTATGTCCATGATGTTTTATTCCTTGACAATGATGTAGCCACCTTGGTCCCATCCAGTCTGTATTGCCTCGAGCTGTTGAAACATGGCAAGTCAATTCAGGACCACGTAAATGTTAAATGGCAGAAGCAATATGCTGTAGATAAAACTAAGTGATACCACAACCAATGAATTAGATTAAAGTTTTTCAGTCTTTCAATATTCAGTTTTGAAAGGTGACACACAATTAAACAACAGGATGAGGTGGCTCCATGAATATCCCATCCTAAATAATGACAGAGCCTAGCATTCGATTGCAAAAGACCAAAAAGCGTTTCTATTTTCCTTAACCAGAAGTATCAAGTCAATGATCTGGCTCAGCCACCTCCTGGAATCACAACTGCCACAGAAGCCAGGCTGCAACCAATTTGATTTGCTTCACAAGATAACATAAAAAATCAGTTGTAAGCACTGCATGTAACAAAGGTGAGAATAATGGGATGCCAATTTAAGACTCCGACAAGGAAGAATTACTTATCTCAGTGGATCGAGAGTCTTTGGAAATCGTTGCCACAGAAGGCTGTGGGAATAGAGTCCTTGTGTATATTTAAGGCTGAAATCGATAGATTCTTGATCAGTACGGGAATCAAAGATTTTGGTGAAAATGCAAGAAAGTGGATGTGAGGAATATCGGATCAACCTTAATATTATTGAATGGCATAGCAGGCTTGAGTGGTTGAGTGGCTGAATGGCCTATTCCTGCACCTATTTCTTATGATCTTATCTGCAGCAATCTCAACCCTCTAACTAGATTTCTTCACACAAAACTGTATTATCATTACTGAATCTTTGATCATTAGCATTGTGGGGATTACAATCACCCAGAAACATAACTGGACCAGCCAGATAAATACTTACTGTCTCTGCAAGAGGAGATTGACGCTGGATATTTGCGGCATATTTCTCCTGTGACTCCCTGGCATCTCTTAACACTTAAAATGTACAAGACACAAGTCACAAGAGTGTGCTCAAGTGCTTTCAGTTTACTTGGAATAGCCCAGTTCCAACAACATTCATCATGGTTTCTTCAACAGCATCTCTGAAAACAACGAACTCTCCTACCTAGAAGGTCTAGGGCAGCAAGCACAGGGGAATACCATCTGCAAGTTTCCTGGCAAGTAATTCTGATTTGAAAATATATTGCTGAATCTTCAGTGTTGCAGTTGGCACCTGTAAGGTAATATGACAAGTTAATATAACATGTCTTTTCTCAGATGTTTGTAAATTTAAAAAAAAAATCTTTCATGGGATGTGGGCATCACTATCTGGTCCAGTATTTTATTGCCTATCCCTATTTGGCTTTTAGGGTAGCATTATCTTGAACCACAGCAGTTCATGTGATATAGGTACACCTGCAGTACTGTTCAGAAGTGAGTCCAGGGTTTTGACCCAGAAACAGTAAAGGAACAGTGATACAATTCAAAGTCAGGGTGGTTTTTGGCTTGGATGGGAATTTTCAGACTGTGCCATTCTCACATATCATCTGCCCTCATCCTTTTAAATGGCTAGAGGTCGCAGCTTTAGAATTGCTGTCAATGGATCCATGGAGTTAATGCAGTGCATTTGTGTAGATAGTGCATACTATTGTCACTTTGTTGATAGTGGAAGGCATTAATGTTGAAGGAGATGTATGGAGCCCCAATCAAGACTGGTTTTGACCTTGATGGTATCATGCTTCTCAGTATTGATGGGCCTGCACTCAACCAAGCAAATGGAAAGAGTTTGTCACGCTTCTGCTTTATGCCTTGTAGGTACAAGATAAGTCTTTGGGGAGTTGAGGGATGAGTACTTGCTGCATAATTCCCAGCCTTTGAACTGCTCGAGTAGTCACAGTGTTTATGTGGCTGTTCCAGTTCTGCTTCTGGTTGATGGTAACCCCTGAGATGTTGATGTTGAAATCTTGCATACTGCAGCTATTTTGAGGAAACCTGTGTCACCCCTTTTCCATCTGTTGTTGTGAACTGAGATGGCATTGAAAATATTTCTGATAGATCATCCACTCACAATTCATCCATAATAAATGCATCAAAATGCTTATCCACCAGAGGTAAGCCAATATGGATTGAATATTCTCTTATGATTTATTTTTATCACTTATGGATATAATTGTAAATTAAATTTCATAATGTTACTTTTCATGCTGACTAATGAACAAGTGAAAGATAATTGAACTTTGGTTATGCGAAAAGGATTAATAACATTGAATCAGCAATATGATAATTTTGGCATATTGCCAACTACATTACAACATCAGAGAGGATTGAGGTGCCTTACAGGATTAGTTTAATAATGTGGCATCTTTAGAATATGGAACATTTAACAATTAATACCAGCTGGCCAATCAGTCAAATCACAATAAGCAAAAACTTCTCATAGTTTGAAACCAGAATTGAAGAGCTAACACAAGAATTATCAACTACCATTGTTATTGTTCTATTAAGTTGCATGAATTAGCTGAATAACACCATAAATTATAATTGATAACAGCTTTTTCATATTCTTGTTGAAATGCCAAGGTATTTTTTGAGTATAAATATATAGCCTAAAAGAGGAAGTGGGGTGCAATATGTCATGCTCGTTGATCTATTCTTTAAGTTCATGAATTATTCTGTTCTGTGGAGAGAAAATCGTAACAATATAATGACCCATATGTACGGCTCTCATTTATTGCAATAAGATAATGATTATGCGAATGCTGTTGAAAATTTGTGGTCACCATTATGTTTTAGATAACTATTTGTCATTGTAGGAATAGACGAATTTTAGGACTTAAGAATAACTGGAACAGTCACATTTTAAAATCTACTCTGTCAAACTTTATCGCAATAAGTAGGAATAATGTTTATGGAGCACAAATGATCAAATGCATGTTAGGAGATGATGCCCTGGTCAGCGAGCATGTGCTTGAACTGTTTCAGATATCCGTGAAAGCTATAAGGTTTTCAATGCATGTGCATGTGTACCAATGTTGAGTCCAATTAAAGGGCCCAATTATATCTCTCCTTGAGAATGGATTGGATTCCATCGTTGATTTTCTGCTTTGGCAGGGTGGTAAGGATTACCTACTTCAGTTTGCTGGGGACATTGATTCACGAGTCCAACGTGATTGTCATGCCCTGCTTCATTACTCCCTGTGCTTTCTTAATCCTCCCCATTTCTTTTCATGATACCACACATTCACCATGCTTCTTCTTAACCCCCAAACCTCCCCTTACCTTTTCTCACCTTCTCAACTCTCCATCAACATGTGTCCATGTATCTTTGCTAGCCATTTACATTGTATATCCACAATGGGCAAACGCAGGATTCAAAAATTGAATAAAGTTGTTATATTCAAAGATACTTAATACTGTTCAAAAAATTCACAGAATTAAAAGTATTTTAAATATTTAAAAAAAAAATCTCTTCAAGTGGTCATTCTATTGTGAAAACAAATACAGACTTATCTGTTTATCACAGATGCACATAATTGGTTAATAACCTGAGAACTATAAATCAAAGATGTGAATACGGCTAGCTGCTAAAATAAGTGGTTCTTGATCTTTTGAAACACACAGATATTCATAATAGCCCAAGTTCTCAAATAATAAATGCTGAGAAATATACAAAATTAGTAAATTGAAACAAAAAGACAGATGGTGTATTTTAAGTAGCAGATGATATCTCATTTCCATTTCACAGTATGCTTCCTGTTAATCAGTAGAATGGGGCAAGTGCTTAGATTTGTTTGTTCTTTCCAGCAAAGCCTGTGTTTTTTTTAAAAGAAAGAGATTCTAAATATTGGAGAGTTTCTCAGCACATTGTTCCACAGCTTTGAATGTATTGTGACATTTTTTTCTCAGTTTGAAGAAGCACTGTAACGCATGCCAGCAGTTTAGTTGGTGGCCAATATGACAGTCAGCTGCTGGTTGTGCTAAGAATTATACTGGCGACCAATTCAACGTTATCCGTTGAGCACAGTATGGAGCCCTTCTACTTATTAGAAGGTCCATATATTAATACACAGGGCTCTGATCTTCTTAAACCTGAACAATATGTACGCATTGTGCCTGTTGTAACGTGGCAAAATAAGGAACTGATATTCTGTGATTCATTGGTAAAGACAGTGCCCTGAATAATCAGAGTTGTTTAACTATGAAATACTTGACAGTTAACTGTAGGTCATCATCTAACTGGTGGATTCTCCATGACAGTACCTCTACCAATCATTGCTGAACAATCAATACACTCATCTCACACAGTATACAACGCTGTTCCCCTTTACATTAGAATTCTTGTGCATATCCTGCTGTGTGCAAGATGAAAATCTTCAACAAAATGTCTTTTTACAGCATTACTCAAGTTCTGTGCTACCAAACAACCATCTGTTACTTTCAGCGTCTCATTATCTGCTTTGGGACCCTGCAGCCTTCAGAAGTCAATATTGAGTTCAATAATTTTTGAACCTGATCACTTTGTTCCATGTCCTTTACCCACACCCACATCCTAGGACTTGTCATGCTATGGCTGCTTTCAACTGCACACATGCTCATTCTCTATCTTCCTCACCTCTATCTTCAGCATATATAGCACCATTTTCTAGCTACTATCAGTTCCTAAGAAGGATAACTAGACTTGAAATCTTTGCTCTGTTTTCTCTCCACAGAAATTGTCCTACCTGTTGCATTTCTGCAACAATTTCTGTTTTTATTTCAAATTTCTAACAACCACACTTTTATTTTACATAACTGTATGTAAGTTTCTCAGTTCATATGGAAAATTTGTCTTAACCTCAAACTTATTCATCAGGATTCTTTGAAACTGAGTTTTAAATCTGTTTACTGAGAAAAAGGTAGTCTTTTTCAAAAGAAAAGCACTGTCCAATTTTTCTGTTGGTATCAACATAAAAGAAACCACAAGAAGTTCCAATTGTGGGCAGTTTATATGTGATCATTTAATATTGAAAAAAGATGCAATTACTGAAATTCTAATCAGACTTGTGTATCATAAAGCTCTGAAGTTAATATTGAGATTATTGCTCAGTCTTTTGTGAGCCAGAAGAGAAACTCCTAAGTTTTCGTTTGAAGAGTTTACATCGTAATTGTTTCAAATCAGAAACCTGTCTCAACATTTTCAAAATGACATACTCAGAATGCAGAATTGTAGCTCAAAACTGTCCAATTATTCTGAAGTTTGAAAAACCTTAAAGCCAAAATTTTAAGGTAATCTGAAGCCTTCAAGCAGAAAGATATCAAAAAATGAATCCCTAAATACAATCATGATTCTGTGATGGGTACAGCCACAAATCGTGTACACAGGATGACTTGGACATTATGCTAGAATTCAGCTTGTTTCAACTTGAGAGTCAAGCACATCATCTGTTCACTAGTTATTTGTTTCACTGACTAAAAACATTATTGTCACTGATTTTTGTTATTCAAGCCACGATACAACAATTTGATTACCTGGTCATATTGTGTTACGGCCATTTTAAAGGAGTGATTTCATCATTGAAATTAACTTTTGAAAGTGCCAATAATGACTTACACTAATGGTGCTATATGAGTGTGATGAAACATTCCAAGACCCTTCAAGTGAGCATTATTAAATAGTATACGATACCGAGCCATGTAAGGTATTAGAATAGAATATCCTTTGTTGTCACGTGTACTCTGGTGCAGAAGTGCAGTGAAAAGTTTTTACAATGCTGCCTCTAATGGTGCCATCCTAACTACAAGTATCTAAGTACAAATCTTGGATATAAAAGAGGAATAAAGGGAAAAGTAGTAGCATTACTTAGTGTCTAAAAAAAATGTTAGAAATAAGATAGTTAAAGGATTGACATTACAGTTCAATAAAGAGTTTCAAATAGCAGCATGTGGTCTGACCCAGGCCAACAACTGTCCCTCTCCGCTAGAAGCCTCCAGGCCATTCTGCATTGTTGAGCTGCTCAGGGACTCATTTCTCCTAGTGCTGCACCCAGATTTACTTCTTCTTGCGCTGCTCTGGGACTTGCTTCCTCTCGTGCTGCTCCAGGGCTCACTTCCCCTTGCGCTGCATCAGGTCGGATAACATAAAGTTCCATAAAAGAGGTAGATTTTTAATGTGTCTTAAATGAGGACAGTGAACTAAGTTTAAGGGCATAGAGAGATGTGGGGGTGAAGGGGTGGCTGAAATTGTGGAGCCTAGGGCTCAGACAACCAATGAAAGAGCAAATAAAATCCAGATATTTCAGAATCCCAAAATTAGAGGAGGGGCAGGTGGTTATTTAATTGGGCCAGAGGATGCTGCGTGTGACCCCTCAGCCTTCCCACTTATGCTCTGTTATGACCAGGCACGAAGGCCATGGGCAAGCTTCTTGCCCCAAAGCTAAATGAGTCTTTAAGTAGGTGAGGGTGTTATCCTTCTACCGTTGATACTCAACCAGAAGCAGGCAGCGCAGTTGGCACATGAGAAGTGGTAGTGTAATTTGGCAGTACAGACTCAATCGGTTGAAGGGCTGTTTCTATACTGTATGATTCTATGATCCTGAGCCTGAAAAGCAAACACTCACTGTCCAATCAAGGGACCCAGCATTGGTGATGATGGGGTCCCACTCAATGTCACCCATGCCCTTCATTTTTCTCCCTGTCCCTCTATAGAGAGTCACCAGAGATCTTAAACCACTCTCACTCACCTGTGATCTGGGTCCCTAGCTGATCCTGACCTCTGATGGGTGCATTTCAGGCAGTTACCATTGCTTGCCTATTGGCACTGATGCCAATGAAGACCTTCTGGTCTATGATTGGCTGGCAGCCCGAGGGATAGCTTGGTGTCGTTGATTCCAAGGAAGGGCTAGACCACATAAATGCCTGAGGAGGCCTTTAATACAGTAGGCCTTCCACAAAGGAAACAGTGGGCTGTCCTTTCTAGCTATCCAGCTGGCATGAGAGATGAAATTTCTGCTTATCTAATACAAATCTGATAACTCAGCAACAACAAAGGAAGAGTTAAGAAAAGTGCTGGTGAGGTACAGCTGGGTGTCATCTTCATAGATATGTAAACTAATGGACACTGCTCCATCAACATCAACCAAAAGCAGAACATGAGTAGGAAGATAAATAATTGCAAGTGATTGTCATGTTAGAACGGTCAGACACTGGACTATACTGGACAAGGACTGAGAGATCAATCATGTCAAAGGCTGCAGATAGACTGAAGAGGGAGTGATGTCATTGCCAAAGTTACATAGGATGTAAATAAATGAGTTAAATAATATTTTAGTTTTTTTTAAAATCTAACTATTGATGCCATAGGTTTAGCTTTGGTGTGCGAAATTGCTTATTGGTGTTGATGAGCCCTTTGATAATGACAAATTAACACTTAAAGCTGAAATATTTTATCATTCGTGAAGAACTATTCGCTGGAAGAGGTGACAGAGATACATTGCAGGCTGTCTGATACTTGGACTATGGCTGACATAATCCGTATGATAAAGTCTTCCTAGACCGTAGCTTCAATAATGCCACAAAAGTATTTTTCTTAAAAATCAATGCAGGAAAACATTCAAATAGTTATATTCTAATTCTTAATAATTGTAATAACTATGTATGTAAAAAAGAAGTTATGATGATCAGGCTTTATCTGGTTACTGTATTTTTTTCATTTAGTTTGATGTAGATTATCTGGCTGTACTATTATTGTTCTGCATTATTACATTTTTAAACAAAAGGAAACTTGTTTTTTTCCCTACAGGGTCTCTTTCCTGCAAGCTATATCCACCTGAAGGCAGCAGTTGTTAGTAACCGGGGGTGAGTACTCATTGAGGAATGGATGGTTGTATTGTGATGCCAATTTATTATACACTTAAAGGGACCTTTGTGAAAATCATCCTGTGTTTTTTCTGTCCACTGCTATTGAAATTTCAAATCTTAGATTCTGGAAAATCCAGGGAATTGGCAGTCTCCTAATGATGTAATTAGTTCAGTAACTTTAAAGCTTTCCCATTGTAATGTTGAATCAGATGCTAATTTAGAAAAATGGGGGAAAACTAGCTCTAAATTGTTTAATTTTGCACACTTTGATATCAGTTTTTCTTTTTTCCTTTTGCATGGCCATTTTTAATGCTAATATTACTCTTTTTTATGCCTAATATGCTTTTTTTCTGAAAACTTTCAGATTTATTGTTTAACTTTGTTTTTTCTCTTTCAATCACAATTTATGCTTCTGGACTGTGTACTATTGATTGAATCAAGGACTCCCAAACCATTATCTTGTTTAATGATTAGTGAGATTCTCTTATATTGGAGTAATTCTGTTGAAGGGAACCAAATTAACAAATTGTAATGCCTGACCTTCTCTTTAATAGAGTAGACCTACCACAAATTAAATTGTAATGACTATCATTGCACTTCAAAATTAGGAATTATGTTTCCTGATGTTTATTTACTTTCTGACAATGTTAGGATGAGTAGATACTGATCATAAATAACACCGTCTAAAGAAGTACATATAAAATTCAAATGTTAAGGATTTGATTCAAAGTGCACTATCATGGTGTGACTGTTAAAGATGTTTGCGAATCTGATTAATTTCATCATAAATTGCCACATTCATTTTGGAAAATGTCTTTATTTCTGTTTCTAGAGTTTAGAAATCAAAGACTGTTCAATAATCAGAAAAATGTCTGGGGCTGACACATACAAAGTAGTATTGTTTCTATGGTAGTTGTTGATTCTGATCTCACAATTGGATTTCTACATTGGCAATTTATGGTTGTAAACCTTCAATGGATTTTTTAAAATTGACAAATTGTTATTGAAATGGTTGATTGAATAAAAGAAATATTGCAAATACTTGAGAGCTTATGTGGTATTTAATTCCTAATTTTAAGTGCAATGATGGTCATTACAATTTCCTGTTGAGGTTACTTTATATTTCATCTCCATGTAGTGGAAATACTTGGCTGTCATTGACCAGATTTTCAGAGGCATTGACAGAGTGCTACATCAAAGGTTAATACAAAAAAAACAACAGCTTGTAGAAAAAGGTGTACCATTTATTAGCATGGGCAAAAGGATTGATTAGCTAACAAGAAACTGAGAATAGGCATAAATGGATCATTTTTGAGTTGGCAAGACATAACAAGTAGTGTGCCATAGAAGTCAGTGCAGGGGTCTCCACTATTTACAAACCTGTACCAGTAAACTGGATGGTAGACAAGATAATGATAACTTGGATGGTGGGACCAATTCTATCGTTGTTAAACTTGCAGATGACACAAAGATATCTTGGAAAGTAAGTTGTGAAAAGGATATAAGGAGTCTATAAGGTTGTGTATGGCCAAACATTTGGCAGGTGGTGCACAATGTAGGAAAATGTGAACTTGTCCACTTTGAATGTTACACAGCATATTAATGTTAATAGGGAATGAAACAAATGTAGGGATGTTTTGCTACAGTTAAATAGGGCATGGGTGAGCTAGAGAACTATGTGTAGACTTGGTCTTCTTATTTAAGAATGGAAATGATTTCATTAGAAGCAGTTCGGAGAGGTTTCACTGAATTGATTCCTGAATTAGTGTGGTTACCTTACAAGGACAAGTTGGATAGGTTTACGTGTATCCATGATCTTACTGAAACCTGCAAGATCCTGATGGAGCTGAATATGTTGGAAGCCTGTTTCTCCTTGTGGAGAGACTAGAAATAGGTGATACAGTTTGAATTGATTTGATTTATTATTGTCACATACCAAAATACAGTGAAAAGTATTGATTTGCATGCTATTCGACAAATCATACATTTATATAAGTGATAGAACAGAATGCACAATATATAGTTACAGCCACAGAGAAGGTGCAGAAAAAGAACAATTCTAATTTATGAAGAGTCCATTTATAAGTCTGATAATGGGGAGGAAGCTGTCGATACATGTTTTCAAACTTGTGATCTTCTGGGGTAGGAGGGATCTTTGATTATGTTGGCTGTTTTCCCAAGGCAGTGGGAAGTATAGATGGAATCAAGAGAAGGAAGGCTGATTTTTGTGATGGACTGGGCTACATTCACAACTCTTTGTAATTTCTTGCAGTCTTTTCGTAGAATCCCTACAGTGTGGAAACAGGCCCTTTGGCCCAACAAGTCCTCACCAAACCTCAGAGCATCCCACCCAGACCCATCCCCCTAAAACCCACCTAATCTACACCTCCCTGAACATTGTGGGCAATTTAGCATGGCCAATCCGCCTAACTGCACAGCTTTGGACTGTGGGAGGAAACCCACACAGACATGGGGAGAATGTGCAAACTCCACACAGACAGTCGCCCGAGGCTGGAATCGAACCCGGGTCCCTGGCGCTGTGGGGCAGCAGTGCTAACCACTGTGCTACCATGCCGCCCAGAGGAGTTGCCGTATCAACCTGTGATGCATCTAGATAGGATGCTTTCTATGGTGCATCTGTAGAAATTTAAAGAAAAAAAGAGATCTCTGAATTAAGGCAGAGGTGAGGAGTTTTTTTTTTCCTCTAAGATTTGAGTGCTTATAGAGCTCTCTTTCCCACAGAGCAGGATTATTCAGTAGTTTTAAATAAAGTTAGATAGATTCTTTACCATTCATAGAGTCAATGGGTATTGGAAGTAGACAGGCAAGTGGAGTTGAGGCCACAATCATATCAGTCAGATCTTATCCAATGATAGAGCAAGGTCAAGGGGGCCTAATGGCCTACTTTTGCTTCAGTCTTGCATGCTTGGATTGTCCAGTTATAAGGCATCTGCAAAAGATTAAAGATATAATATTGCATGTTGAGCTGAGTACCTTTCCTGTGCTATCCTAACACATTCAAAATCAAAATGTACTAATCTATTAAATAGTCGAATGTAGATGTATGCCTTCTATAAAATTTGTTCATGGGATATGGGTGTGGTAAGATAGGCCAACATTTATTGCTCATCTTTTATTGCGCAGTTAATAACCAACCACACATTGCTGTGGGTCTGCAGTCACAATTACACTAGACAAGGAAAGGATGACATTTACTTTTGTAAAGAGTATGAGTGAATAATTTTAGGTTTTTTTTGGTAACAATCAATAGTGGTTACTTATTTGCTATTAGGCTAGCTATTTTTAATTCCAGTGGTTTTTTTTATTGAATTCAAATTTTGCCATCAGCCATTGTGTGATTCAAGCTCATATCCTTGGAATATTAGTCTGGAATTCTGGATTACTAGCTCAATGACTTTACTACTATCCCACTGCCTGTCCAGTGTGTGCTGCAGTGTTCTAAATATTGTGTTTCTGATCTTAGTAGTACAAGGGATTTCTCTACTAGGTAAAAGGAAAACTGGTGAGAATAATTACTCTGGGTTGTGCAGATGGTGTAGTTTTGAAGCCCAAAACCTTGTGCAGAACATGATTATGATGAAAAGAAATAAAACGGTAATACCTAAACATGTGCATAGCTGAGTATATGAATTGGCAAGTGCCTGGTTTGGTTTCTGGTTGGTCCCAACAGAACTTTTGTGAGTTGGATCCAGATACAGTTACTATAATCAATTTCCTGTGGCGATACAAAATTCATTCCTAACTGGTATGTAGTAATTACTAAGTAACACCCCTTTTGAGAGCAAGGTGTATGTGAACACAAAATGAGGAAAGAATTAAACTTCTGTGATACCTAACTTTAGCTGAGTGACAATTGTATTACTATAATAAAATGTCAGAGGGAATCTGGTCCCTCTCGAACTGTAAAACTGTTTCATAGAGTCATACTGCACGGAAACAATCCTTTCGGTCCAAATCGCCTGTGCCGACCCGACATCCTACTCTGACCTAGTCCCATTTGCAGCATTTGGCACATATCCCTCTAAACCCTTCCTATTCATATTCCCATCCAGATGCCTTTTAAATGTTGTAATTGTACCCGCCTCCACCACTTCCTCTGGCAGCTCGTTCCAGGCACGCACCACCATCTGTGTGAAAAAGTTACCCCTCAGGTCCTTTTTAACTCTGTGCCCTCTCACCTTAAACCTATGCCCTCTAGTTTTGGACTCCATCACAGTCCTATCCTAGCATCAAGTGCACAGTCATAAAAGGTACTTACGTGGAGTGAGAAATCTGGGTGGAAAATCAAAATAAATCAAATACGGTGATTAAATGGCTAGGGGAGAGTAGCATAGTGGTAATAACACTAAACTTGTAATCCAAAGGCTGAGGCTCATTCTTAAATCCCACCAGAATGGCTGATAGAATTTAACCTCAATTAATGAAATCTGTAACTGAAAACAATCTCAATAATGGTTACCATGAAACAACTACCAATTGTCTTGAAAACTTATCTAATTCATAAATGTTTCTAGGGAAGGAGTTCTGCCATTCTTTTGTGATCTGGTCCAGACGTGAGCCCAAATCCACAATAGTGTGGTTTACACGGAAGTGGCCCCTGAAACAGCCACATAAGTTAATCACTTTAAGGGCAATTAGGGATGGTAATCAAGTGTTGCCCTTGTCAGTGATGCTAATGTCCATGAAAAAAAATTTCAAAGTGTTACCAAGCTTTGGATTTCAAACTCCCTATATATCGTAAGAGGAAGAAAAATTTGAGTCATGTCAGGAGTTCTCAATTCTCAGATTCTTATTAAAAATCAGTTAGAGTAGAGCTGGCTGAGTTGTGAAGAACTTAACAAACAAAGCAAGCCTGCAGCAGGTGATGCAAAATCAAGATAAGGGATAAAGGCAGTTTGATCTTGTCCTCACCAGCCTTGCAATCGCAGCTACGTCTGTCCGTTCCATTATCATTATGAGTGATCAGTGCACGGTCC